GGTGGCTACTACTTAAAGCTAGAGTGAGAGTGGGTGGTTAAAACAATGTGAAAATCTTTTCGCCCTTTCGTTGCCGCCAAGAATTAACAAAAAATTACGACAGGCGTAAAAAATAAGGCATTTCCCAGGAACCAACGCCGGCTGGATCGAGTCATCGTGTTGACGTATAATCTCTTTGAACTTACCATCATCGAGTCCACTTACCTATTATGCATGGTTGTTTTCGTTTCTAGACAAGGATGTTATCCGCACAGAGGAATTGAAACGTAACCGTTTCCTGCTGAACAGTTTCGAGTGTTTTTAGCTGTTTCGAATTCGGCAGATGCCGAATTGGTTGTAACTTGATATGTATTTGCCTATACATGGATGCATTATATATGAACATTTAACGGACGTCATCATGACGTCATCACATGTCATGTGACGTTACATTACAGGGGCATTTTTCTAAGACCGGTATCTAAAGAATTAGAGGTCGGGTTTGGTTGTAACTTGATATGTATCTATATCGGGAAGTGTTATATATGAAGATATTCAAGCGCTGTTATTATGACGTCATCGCATTTCATGCGACGTCACATTATAGGGACATTTTCAAAGGCATATATCTAAAGAATTACAAATTCTCTTTGGCATGTACATAAAAAGAGAATTACTATCTCATTGTAAGTGTGACATTATAGGGTTACAGGTGCACTGGGAATGCAAAGTAGTGGCGCATGTGGTATGCAAAGTAGTGTGCATCGATGCGAGTAGCAGGGTGTGGTTATAAGGCGTTGGAATGCTGGTTGGTGGCATACGCAGTCACCACGCCACACAATTTGTTTCTTGCTCTATAACAAGGAATGTTTGATTTTTTGGTTTCATTAATTTTACAAGTATATAGCAGATCCTGGAGCTCGTTATATCGATTCAAGTAGTGCTCGATCGCCATTCGGGGGTCAGATGGGAATTTCCCAGAGTTTTGTCCTTAAATTTACAGTAAAAGGTTTTATCTGTGGTTTTTCGCCTATCTCAGGATCGTGCGAATGTATGTATAATGATGTTAAGCCAAGACGACCAAGAGGTACATACATGTATATGACTAATATTCCATAAACGGGTTGCATATTTAGTTTTTTTTTAATGTTATCGTATTGTCATTGTATTTACGGAATCAGTAGATCTGTTGTAACACAAGACGTTTACAAAAGAGTGCGGGTGACTGTTACACTTGCGAGATTACAACAGTTGATTTAATATAAATAAAAATTATTTGGTTATTGTGTATGATTAAGCTGGTTTGTCGGGGCAGAGATGAGATTTATAGGTCTCATTTGGTTATAACTTGATACGTACATATACCGGAATGTGCTATAGCCTTCAGTCAAGGCCCATGCGGCAACCCAGACACGTGACGCGCCCCGGATGCTGGCACTTAAAAATACCATAGCACGAGCGTCGCTATAGTTTTTTTTACGTGCCAGCATCCGGGGCGCGTCACGTGTCCGGATAGCCGCGTGGGCCTTGACTAAAGGCTAGATGTGTTAGAGATGAAAATTCAAGTGCTGTTTTTGTGACGTCATCACATGTCATATGACGTCACATTAAAGAGGCATTTTTTTAAGGCAGGCCTGTATCCACAGAACTAAAGTTCGGATACGGTTATAACTTGATAAGTTGGTAGGAATTTAGAACGGGGTGTGTTACTGATGAAAATTGAAGTGGCGTCATATGATAATGTCATCATGTTTAGGTCATATGTATTATGTACTCTGACTATGTATATAAATTTGAAGTATATTCGTATTTTTTTTCCTTTATGAAGTGTATCAGCAATTGAGTGTAAAGTGGATTTATTACTGTTATTTTTATTATTATTTGGGTTTATTATCACCATTTAGCAGCTCAAAAGCTGAATTGCACTGTGATTTACAGTAAAAAGTTAAATGAATTAAAAATAAACAAATTTCACGAGAAGTTAAAACACGTACAAAATCCACAACAACAATCCATTATTCTAAAAATAAAAAACTCGCTTGTATAATAGTAATTAAAAATGCATACCTTTAAAAATCCTATGTTGAACTATTGATGAGTATGGTCAGATAGGGTAACGGGCTGTTTCTAAATCTCTTGGATGAACTTGGATACTCCTCAAGTGTTCTACTCGATCTAAGATTCATAGTGTGTGAACTTTTTGATTTAGGGAACCACTCATTAAATCTGCCTGATATAAAAGCACTATAAAGATCAAAGTTTGTACACGTAGTGGTTCTTCTATCATAAAGGTGATCCAGACACAGAGTGGATAGAGCATTCTTGTAACCAATGTATTGACTCGTTTTTGGATCGACTCAATTTGATTGGTCTATTTGAGTGTAATGCTTGAGTGCCAAACTGGCAATGCGTATTCTAGGACTGGTCTAACATAACCTGTATATACAGTAGCAAGTTCTTTCGGAGTAAAACCAGTTTTCTTTCAGTTTCCTGAGCATGAATGATTAAACTTTAAATGCTCAATATCAACGTGCTGGTTGGGTAATCGGGTATAACCCGATCTCCGGTTTTTTTTAAATTGTACATATTAAGCTCTCTTTCTTTCTCTTTTTCATTTTTGGACAATTTTGGACAATACTTCTCCGCGGGGTTTCTCCGAAACGGTTTATGGTATGAACTACATTCAAATAAATTATGCAAATAACTTGTGAGGAATTTCAACACAAAAATTGGCATGATGACGTCATTGCCTGAAAGGGCGCCCTCTAACGGTACGTCAAAGATAGATGACATTTTTAAACTTAAAAACCATTCGTTACAATTTTACAAAAAAATTCACCTAGACATTCTTTGTACAAACTCAAAGAATTTTGCATGGCTTCAGAATGGTGATGTCATCAGACCAGAACTCATTGTAGAGAGAATTCCTTTAAATTTAAATTCGTCCTTTGATTTGTGTCTTATGACTTTGTTTGTACTTCATAGCATAAATCATTATATGTGGTACAATGTTGACCCTAAAGGCTTCCAAATATTGTGACGACACCAAACCACCAAAGTTAGGTGTTATTAATACATGTGCATAAATATTCATTATAATTTCAATATTTTTAAAGGTTCTTATCACTGCATAAACCGGAAGAAACGTTTACCTGTAAATAAAATGTATAATGAAATTTAAAAACACACAAAATGATGCATTTATGTTTAAGTTAAATCAAATGGTTTCACTAGCGGAGGATGAATTTTGTGATTTTGTTTTTGTTATGACAATAATTCACAACTTAGGCCCTAAGTGGTCAATGTCCCACGAAATCGTTGCAGTCCCGATCACTCAGCGTTTGTAACTCAACAAACGCGCGAATCTCTAGCTATTTTTAGGTTACAACATTAACATGATATTATGAGAAGTCGAAAACCAACGTTGACAACTCCATGATCGGAATCGCTCGCAAATGTACTTTTTAGAGCAAAAACTGAATGCCAACAAAAGGAGCACGTTGTCGTCACGCCTCTCGGACAGAGCGTTTGTTCTGTAGGTTTGGTCGGCATACAGCCGAGTGCCGAGTGCCCCCCCCCCTCCCCCCCAAAAAAGAGCCCTTTTGTATTTTTGTATTTTTAAATGACGTCACCAAAAAGGCAACCACTGCGTACACCGCGCACAAAATTCAACAAAAGCAATACTACATTATTTTTCACCCTTTTTTCGGGGAACAAAAATAAATTTTGCCCCCCCCCTGTTCTGGATCCGGCCTTGCATCCCCCCGCCCATTCAGCCTATGACTAATGTTTTCAAACTAGGAAATAGGGCCAAAAATAATTCATGGAATGCTAATGTTCCTAAACGTATTCTTGAATTGGCTTAGAATGTATGGGAGAAATGTAGTCTGAGTATTAGCGTTGTCCAGGGAAGCGCTCTCCGTAAACAAACGTCTGATACAATTATGTGAGCAATGCATATTTTATGCGACCCCAAGCGCCAGCCAATCAAAGTCGGCTTTAGAAATTGTGACGTCATTTCGATCAAAAAACGTTGAATAAGCTGTTGAATGGTCAATTTGGCTCCATGTTTTTGTAATACAACAGCGGATTACTGAAGACCTGACAGAAGGCACCCGCTGAATGTCAAGAGTCTCGAGGTCAAGACGTAGTCTTGTTTTGCATTATTTATCGCCGAATCTGCTCGCATATCATAAACTCTTTCTGTGCAGGAGGATATTTCATAGGCTAGGACACATTTTCGTAGATTTCATCATTTTGTGGGGTGGGGGCATGCCCCCCCCCCCCACCTCCACCAGCATATAAGCACCTTATTTGGTCTTGCACAAATTTGTTTAGGAAAAAGAATTTGTAATGTTTGCTTTTGCACAGAAGACGGGTGTTTGAATTCCGCTTTGGCTTCCCGTATTTGTTTTGATTTTTATTATGCATATCACCCATCACAAGCCACTCGAGGTGTGCGCCACAGAGGAAAGTGTGGAAAAAACAAGCCCCTCGCACTGAATAAACAGTGCCCTATAAACATCCACATTAGCATGTCCCCAGGATGTTGAGATACATCTCCAGGAAAATACCTTCTGTTGCCCTTTCATTTTCCTTTCACAGTTATTCCTTCAATTTGCAAGAGGGAAAGCCGAGCGAATGTCACATCAATTGAAGTTTCATTGTGTCGCTAGCTCGCCGTTACCCTATAACAATTCGCTTCGCACTGAAACTCCCATGAAGTATGAACTGGTGTCATATGAAATTTGGCCCCCGTCAAATCTAGTAATAGGTACTGTATCATGTCCTAATCATGCTCACTAAGGCATGCGCAATACAGTCAATGAGTCCGTATTTCAGAGAGTCCACATTTCACACAATACCTGCCTTCAGTCAGTTTTTGGTATTACAAAAGATGAGGCGCTAACATTGCTGCACATGATCATATTGCCTTTTGCGTGGTGTACATGTATCTCCGGTATACATGAATTGAAAAGCTGCTCTCGCTGACTATCAGTTCAGACCTCAACAATTTAATCATGGCTTTGATGAGTATGAATAACACATCGTCAATCATGAACGTTACCACCATGCAACCGGCTACCCTTAGCCAATCTCTCTACCCCTACAATGCCCGCATCGGGTTGGCCTGTGTGTGGATCGTAGCCGCGGTACTTGGACTCGTTGGGAACAGCCTCGTGATCTGGTCGGTCGTCCTGTCCAAGAAACTCCGCACGGTAACCAACGCCTTCGTGGTCAACCTCAGCCTGGCCGATTTGTGGACGAGTCTGTCTTACCCTTGGCAAGCCGTCGCCATACTGAGCCACGGGTCCTGGCCGTTAGCTACAGAGGTCCCATGCTACATCGCGGCTGTGCAGTTATACACCGGCCTTGGTGCAAGCCTTTGCTCATTGGCGGTAGTAGCCTTCAATCGCTTCATGCTGGTCACCCAGAAAACTGAAACATACAGTCGTTGGTACACTCCGGGAAAAGTCTCCGCCATGATTGTTGCGACTTGGGTCATCCCGTCTATCGTGTTCTTCTTGCCGCCGATTATCGGCATTGGCGACTTTGGTTACGATCCTCAAGACAACACGTGCTCAGACAAGGATGGTCATCCCCGCGGCCAAGAGTTCAACCTGGCTCAATCTCTTGGTCTGTTCCCGGTCCCCATGCTCATCATCATCAGCTCCTACACGGCACTCTACATTCATCTCAAACGTCACTTCAGGAAGCAGAAGAGGAGACGCGCCCAACAGGGGAGCCCGTCTCAGGATGTTGATGGGGGAACTGTTGGCGAGTCGACCGTCAGTTTCACCGTCGTAAGCGAGTCAACAGCGATGCCAACCAACAACGTAGCCAAAAGCAACCGGCGAGCAATCAGCCGTCAGCAGCTTGCTATCACCAAGAATCTCTTCGTGGTGTTCTTCATCTTCTTCTTGTTGATGTCCCCTTATTTCATCTCTCTGGCTATACCAAGCAGTCGTAAGTTTGCTCTCTACGGGATAACCATCTCTATCTTGAATAGCTGCGTAAACCCCATCATCTACACGGCAAAGCATCCTCAGTTCAAGTTGGTGCTTCGAAATATTCTTCGCTGTCGCTACTCGCAGATACCCGAACCATCTGACTGGCTGAAATCTGTCTTGTCTCAGAGAAAGTAACAACGGGGAACGAAACGTGGGTATATCATGAGCCCTTTTATTTTGACCAGCTGTTGGCTTCATCGGTAGAAATTAAACTTGTTCATTGAGTAAAGGTCAATCAGTAACGGAGATAGTTGCAATGTAACGGAGATGTCTTTTACAGTACTAAATTTTGTCAGCACTTAAGATATGAAACGCAAATCAGTATATAAACATTTTCTCAGGCCAAGCCCACGTTAACGTGACATGGCTCTGGCAAACCAAAACAATTGTAAAGCCTAAAGTCTATGGTATGAACACCAAATGAGTTAGATGAAAATGTGCACGATCATTGGAAAATCTGCTAAATCACCACAAATAACCGGCCTTCCTGGTTCCCGGTCGGCATAGAAGTTCAGTTTCACTGGGCAAGTTTCAATTAATATGGCAGTACATGTACAGTGGATAGCTTATCACTCTTTTTCGCTTCTTCGGTACCAAGAAGTATAATATAATTTGTTTAATCGACTCTTTTTACTTCGTGGAAACTGCATGAGGCTTCGCAAACGTCGAGGGAAAGCAGGTCACTCGTGCAACTTTCCAACATTCGCGGGGCACAAACAATCGGCAATAAGTTCACCACTGTTTTTTCTGTTTAGCAATGAAATTTCTATCTGTATTAAATCTGCCACGTTCATTTTTGGCTCAAAATCATAACAACTGTCTGATGACCGGAAGAGGTAAGAGGCTGAGAACTTTCAATCTCACGTTAAACTTGCGGCTAGAAAGAAAGAAAAAAAACCGTTCTATAAGGTCTATCAGACTTTTCCGACGCTGTCAGATTATTTTCGTTAATATAAACGTCAAGTTGATACCAAATAATAAATTGGGTGGTTCATGGACATTATGCGCTTCGGTACTGCATTAACAAAACACAAATACACGTGACCCCTCTTACAGATTGTAGAGTTGGGGAAAAATCATCATTAGAAAAACATAGGACGAAATATTCCTCTTTGCAAAGTACGAGAGGTCGGGAGAAATCATAGACAACACCTGACCCCGTTTTATTGTTCAAAACTAAAGAAAGGCAGTCGCGGCTTAAAAGGTATCATTAGAAATACGCAAGACCCCACTCTTCAGAATTTCGGTGGTCGGTTAAAAGTATTCACAGAAAAACACGGACCTCTTTTCAGTATTTAGGGGTCGGTGAATTATGACATGAAATACACGCGACCCCCCTTTTCAATATTTTAGGGGCGGACAATATCATAACAATGCTTATTTGCGGCTCCACTTTTGAAAATTTAGGGGACATACAAAGCCATCATTAAAAATGCACGCGAACCCCCTTTTCTGAATTGAGGGGGTCAGAAAATGTTATCATTAGAAATACAGGCGACCTCCCTTTTCTGAGTTTAGAGGGTCGGGCAATTTTAACATAAGAAAAATACATGCGACTCCCTTCTCTGAATTCAGGGGTCGCACAGTGTTATCATTAGAAATAAAGGCGACCCCCTTCTGAATTGAGGGGGTTGGACAATTATCAAAAATACAGGCAAAGTCCCTTTTCTAAATTGAGGGGGTTGGACAATCGGAATTCCTTTACCCTCAAAACATGCGGAGAATTAGATATAAGTTAAATTTTTGATAATGGCGGATGCCTATTTGCATATTATGCATAAAATGCACACATTATCACGATTGTAAAAAATGACTTGAATGAATTCGTTGACCCTAAAAACATGGGTTTAGACACCTCGTTGGATAGAATTGAACAAATTTCCTCAGAGACAATACATAGATGTTATTATTTCTGATAATAGTGAGTGCTATTAATACCCGAACCCAACTTTTCTTTATTTCAAAGTGACGTCTCAATAAAGGCTGGCACTGCCTACTCCCCAATCTTTTCCTCAAAACAATTGGTTAAAGTGGTCAGAAATTGCCTCAGATCGCACCACACAGAGCATCTAGAATCCAACAGAGCATCTAGAATCCAAATTTTTTGGGGGCCTTCAAGAGGGCCCCGAACCCTACGCTGTAATTTTCTGGACCCACTTTTTTGGGGACCAACATTTTTGTTTGGCTCCCCTCCCCCCCCCCCCAAAAAAATGTGTTCTGGATTCGCCCTTGATTAGCGCTAGTAATCAGTGGTGCGCGCGCGTGAAGATGTTTTTACTAACAAATCGGATAGGCTGGCCCGTCCGGGAACAGCCAAAAATCCAAATAAAAGCTTCAGAAGAGTATCGGAGAATGACGAAACCGGGGGGGGGGGGGGGGTCTCATGTCTTCAAATTTACAACTTTCGTTATGTCACGCATGAATTAACAGTTAACTAGAAAAGAGCAGAATAAGCGAAGCCGCAGAGTTTGAGCAGAAGCGTAGCTCTGTCCAGATTTATGATGCTTTCAAGAACACTGTGTTGAAACTAAGTATTTGTATTTGTTGTCTTAAAATAATAACTTCGACTTTTTCCTGACCAGAAATGTATGCAGCACAATACTCAGCTGGAAATGGATGGTTGGATGGTTTCAGACTATTTAAACATTATAGCCTCACTTTCATTTTTTTGTAAAATGAGGCTTAAAATATTAGGGTACGTTTAATCACAAATTTTAAATTATTCATCAGAGCTGACTGGTATTAATTTGTAACATATTTATGTCCTTGCGCCCATAAAGCCCACACTAGTGGCTACTATGTAGAGTAAGGGTACATGAAACAATGTGAAATCTTTTCGCCCTTTCGTTGCCACCAAGAAGAACAGAACATTTCGACAGGGCGTGACGCCGTCAAAAGTAAAACAATTCCTATGGATCCAACGCCAGCTGGATCAAGTCATCGTTTGACGTAAAATCTCCATGGCTGCATCATGTACATGACTATATCAATGTATGTAGCATACCATGTTTATTTAAACTTACCATCCACGAATCCAATTTTTGGTTTATTTTCATTTCTTGACAAGGATATTACGTGCAAAGGTGAATTGAAACGTAACCGTTTCCTGCTTTACAGACAAATCGAAACAAGACAAAAAAAAACATGTACTCTGACCTGTGTATATAACTTTGGATTATGTTCTTATTTTTTCCTTTATGATGTCTTTGTATAAAGCACCTGATGTAGATGAATAAACGTTTAAATGCACAATATCAGCGTGCTGGCTTTTATTGGTTTTATTTCCACCGTTCATATCCATAAAAAACACCTGCCAGTAATTTACAGAAATTATAATTCTGCGTATTTCTGGGTGCATGCAAATCGGTAGTGATTCCATACAAAGGCCCACTATAATAAATCTTTGAAAGCACCTTTGTTATATTTCAGATTACAACATAAACATGAAATATTAGTTGTCCAAGGCCAAATTGGACGATAATTCAATGATCTGAAACTCTCATAAATTGCTGCCCATGGAAAAAAAATGAATGTCAACGAATAGAACAACAGAGCGTTTGTTCGAATTATTTTGGTTTTGCCCATCGATACCTACCCGTCTCTTTCATTCGCCTTTCGTTCTCATGCTTCGCCTTTCATTCCGGATTGTCGCTAGTAAAAGGGGATTGTATTTTCGATCAAATCAATCGATGTCGCAGCACAAGTTGTTTTTGCTGTCCGTTTAGGCCTACGGTGACATTTATCAAAATAGAGTTAAAAAAAAAGAAGTATAGGAAATATTAATCAAGTTGCATAGAAACCAAACGTAGCATGTATAACTGGCAGCAAGCCGAAACAAGTTGTTTTGTAGACAATCTCAATCGCGGGTCACCACGGGCTCTATTCGGAATTAAACACTTCTAAAAAAGCGGTTCATTATTGGCAATATAGGGGGTGCGACAATAATGACACATTGTCCAATTGTAGATGTTTATACCTTGCCAAGAATCGCTATGAACATTGTCCTTTTTGATGACTTGATACCGGTGGCCCAATTTTTGGACCGAAGCGGAAAGCCTGTTATTGTATATTTGCAAACAGGAAAGGCGAATGCGAATGAACGACACTGGGGAGCCAGTGTCTTTCATTCGCATTCGCCTTTCCTTCTGGGTTGTCTCCCTGTGGGAGATGAATGATTCTTATTTTCTCTTGAAGTTGTTGAATTGTTGTACTTGGGATTTTATTTTCTATAAAATTCAATCTATGCCGCAGTACAACTTGTTTTGCTGTTCTTTTTGTTTACGTTGACATTATCAAAATAGAGTTTGAAAAGAGAAGTTTGAATTAAGAAACAAAACGTACTGGCAGAGTAAAACGGAGTATAGTCTAAAACTTTAACCGTCGGGAATCCACCTCAATTAGTCACGTGCCCTTTTCAATATTATTCTACGTTCTCCGTTACCCACTAGTGATCACAATCTCTTTCACCGTTTTGTTTGTGAAGGAAATGCAGGCGCCGGGTCCCCCTCCCCTCCTCTCCCTCTCCCTGCTGGAAACGCCACTCTACGGAAACCTATTGGCTTTTTGACACCTGGTGGCGCTTTGTTTGCCTGAACTGACACAACCTCGTCCCCAGAGCTTTTTATTTTCAACCTCATTTCCAATAGCATCAGGTAGTGGGAGTGTACTGGGACTTATGTTGGGACTGTCCCGACATTAGTATAGTCGGCACAGTGCCGACATAAGTCAAATATAGGGTGAGTCAAAAAAAGCCCCAAAATTATATTTCATATTTAGAAACTATGTAGCACCAAAAATAATAATGACTGAGAAGCCAATTTCATAAGCTACTTTCGGATGGGAAAATACTGAAATAATTTGATCAATCCGTTCAAAGAATATCACCATTTAAAAACAATGACCCTAAAACCTGTCTCGTCCACCGAAGGCCCGTCTTTAAAAAAAACAAGATTTTATAAATCATATTTTTGCATAAACAGGGTTTATGCAAATAAACTGCAGTGATTTGTGTACTGCAGTGATTTGAGCAATTCCAATAATTTGTTCATCTAAAAGTATCTTATGAAATAGGCTTTCCAGCCATTATTATATTTGGTGCTATATATATTTCTAAATATGAAAGATATTTTTGGGGGTTTGGGTTCCGCTTTTTTTGACTCACCCTGTACAAGGGATTTTGCCCCCCAAAAAACCAATTA